AAAATTGGCATTTATTCTTCTATACAATATGTGAACCAGTTAACTGTGTTCTTATTTAAAAATAAAGCTCATGCATGGTTAGCATCCCTAGAGTGGCTGAAAACATTTCCTTAGCATAAAACAAACATAAACACAAATAATAAATATCAAATAACAGCCTGAAAGCAGAAAGGCTTACTCAGGAATAATATAATGTTCAGCTATTCTCTTTAAAAGTGAAGGTCTGACTCAATTTCCTATCTCTGCTATTTGGAAGCAGAGTGATTTCTATGTTCAAAGTTTATGCCATTTTTCTTCCTCCAATTTGAATATATTTAGGCTCCCATGGGAACAAACCCAAGCTTCCTGACATCTAAATGCATTAAAGCAAACACCGTTAGATCCACCAGCTTCTAGTAAGTTTAGAGACAAGGTCTTACAGAAGCCACGCAATTGGCTTCTGTAACTGTCTTGAATTAATTAATATGTTCAAATAAATAACTTTTTAAAATCCTTTACAGCTTTTAAAGATAACGTGCAATATTGAAGCTAGAATCACAAACAAATCAGTCAGCTAAGTGAAAAGTCATCTTTTCCATTCCACAATGGGGGAAAAAGATTTTGAAGGACAAAACTCAATCATTTTATGTCAAAATTGACATAATATGTCCTTAAATACTCACTTGCTCAACAAAAGTATCTATAGTGTTATTCTAACTACTACATCAACACTACTTTATTCCATATATGCTTGCTTTTGATACATCCATTATTCATGATAATGAGAAATCTAATAATAAAGACTATTACTAAACATTTTACAGAGATGACGTTTTTTTCTTTACCTTTACCATACTTATCCTGTTTGCTCTGTTATATTGACCTATTCACCTTAAAGAGTTAAGTTAAGCATTCATGAATACTATATAGTACAATGAGCCTAAAAACAGGTAGTATGTTTCACTGTTGATATATTACCTATCAGCTGAAACTAAAAATTAGATATTTCACAAGTATCATGTATCACCAACTAACAAGTTCATGAATTATAGATAATCATACAGACAATAAACTAACACATACAAATCAGCAAAGCTGAGCTCAGTGCTAAAATCTTATCACAGAACTAATTACGTTCATACTCAAAATCTAACAAATACTCAATGAGTCAATCCATCAGTGGCTCCAAAATCTCTCATAGAACCCTTACAGAAATTGTTGTGAGTACCAGCAGTTAGTTTCAACATTACAAATATATTTTAGTGTCTCAAATGCTGCTTCCAAAAAAGGAGGGCTAGCATGGTGACTCACACCTGGAATTCCAAAACTCAGGAGACTGAGGGAGCTAGTGAATTGCCTCTAGTTCCAGTCTATGCCAGCCTTGACTACATAAATAGTGAGTTACAAGCCATTCTGGACTACAGTGTTAGATACTGCCTCAAAAGCACCAAACAGAAATATGCAAATTAATAAATAAAAACTTAAACAAACACAATTTTGCAAATATCCTTGCTAACATTTCACAAAGAAAGACATAAGCTAGAATTTTTAAAAAAATACCTGCTTTGAAAAAACAGTGAGTTTACTGGTTATTCTTTTCTGTTTAACAAAATAACCCAACCTTTAACATAACAAACTCTCACTCAACAGTCTCAAAAATGAAAATCTGAGTACAAAGGTGCCTGAGACAGTCTATACCCTTAGGCCTGGCTACTGATAACCCAGTTCTCATACCAGCAGGCCTGATAAGTATAGCTCTCAAGCCTCATCCAAGAGGGCTCTTTCATTATTTTTTTCCCAGCAGATTATTACAGGGATCCCCAGTTGGCCAAAATGCTGAGAATAAATGACATGAGGGATCCAGTCCCAAATGATACATCTACAATATAACTCATCCATCTAGGGCTAAGGGAAAACTGTGTTAAACACGGCAGAAAGATTGTAAGAATCAGAGGACAACCACTGCTAGATAGGGAGCTCTAGACAGGACAGAAAAGCTGTACTCATGAAACCTCACAACACAGTCACCTAACAAGGTCGAACAATGACAACACAAGCTGACATGCCAACATGGACGTATACATTTCACAAAGTTCCACCCCTAAATGAAGAGCTATAGTCAATCAGTGGCTGCTGAGAGATGAAGGACTAGATCTTTGATAGGTTACCCTGTCCCAAGTGGTCATCCTAAACACATCTATACCAGTAACACAGAATGGAATCAGTAGGGATTTTTTGTGGGTTGTATGTGTGTGTGTCTGTGTATCTGTGTGTGTGTGTGAATTTACAAATGCATATATGCAACAATAATAATTTAAAGAAATGAATTTGAGACAATGTGGGAAGAGGTACAGGAGATATTAAAGAAGAGGGAGGAGTAGAGAAACACAGCACTTCTGTATGAAATCTCAAAAAACATTTAAGGTTTTAAAGATGAAAAAATAATGATCAAACTACAACTATGAATAAAATGTAAACAAAAAACTTTAAAATGCACAAACACCCTATGTGTCTATAACAAATATAAACAATCCCAATTTTATTCCCATAAACCCAGCTGACTGAGAAAACTCATGACCTTTAAATTCTGAAAGCTCTTAACATCATTTCATCTCTTTAATGAGCTTGGACTCAGGCAAAGGAAAGTTTCTTTACTTTGCAAGTGGAAAAACTGAAGTCACAGTCAGGAAAGACACTCTGCACAGAGTGATTCATGAAGTCAATCTCTATAGAAGAGTGACATTTACAATCTCAAACGGCCACTTCCAGAACAAATACCAACCACACTTCGGTTTTGTGTCATTCAGCTCCCATGCCCACAACAGTAGACCCACCTCACTGAGTGACAAAATAAGGGGCTGGTGAAACAGAAGAGATGTTAGTAAAACACCTAGCATCTGGCTCGCCCGCAATCTGGAAGCAGTGAGTGTGTGGAACACTGAGATGGCCCTCACTTGTACTTCTTCGGGTGAAAGAAGGACATCTGTTTACTGGGGTCACTTCTGAACGCAAGAAAGAAATACTAGATGAGCTTTCCACTCTAATTCCATGACCCCAAGTCCAGGCTATTTGAGAATAATTGAATTATTCAATTTAGGTGGAAAATCATCTGCTCGGAGCCTGTCTTCAGTTCTTACTCTCCAGGAAAACAAAGAAGAAAGGTCAAGGTCAAGGGGTTGAACTTGCAGCTAACAACGAGCACCTTGAGGGAACATGGTAACATTGCATGCACATGCGAAGCATCACAGGGCAAAGGGCACCCCTGCTATTCCACAGAAAGGATGATAGGGTCGCACTGCCCTCCCCCAGGCCTTCTTGCGCTCTCCTTGTGATACTCAACTACATTCAAGGCTTTGTTGTTGTTGTTGTTGTTTTCCAAGAACACTCTTATTCATTTAAAATTTTCATTTCAAAAGAAACCCCTTATTTAAGCCACAGCACCACCACCAACCCCTTCCAATTATTCTCTGCAACTTCCCCGGTCTCTTTCAGGCCTGGCTACTGAGCTCAGTCTAGTTTGGCTGCCCGCCAGATTCCTCTCTTCTTTCCTTGTCAGTCGTAAAAACTTGGAAAATGCTCCTGGACAGCTCAAGGAGAGCGTTTAATTATGCAGTGGAGCAGTACCTTAGCCTGACCGTTGTTTCCAGAAAAGCTTGCAGTCACCAGCGTCTGAACTCTCCCAGTCGGTGGGTTTTCTAGCAAGGCTATTTGTTTATGGGGGAAGGAGGGAGAGATTGGCCGAGCAAGCAGGGCATTTGCAAATCTGAAAATGTTCCAATTCCTTTCAAGGTTTCCCACCTATCACCATTCACTCTGTCTTCCAATCTGCTCTTTTACGACCTGATCACCCACCCGTGTGGACTACATAAAACCATCAATATCCAGGTCTCTGCAAACCTATAGTTAATATAGCTACAACTCGAATAGGCTAAGAAAAGTTTTCATTCTTAAATGCTGGTGCAGCATCTTTAAAAGAAGGCAAGAAATAAATGTATTATATCTTCCTAATTGATAGTATGTTGTCAAACTTACATATTGAAATAATGTGGGTTAATGTCTGATTGCAAACGAAGAAAAGCTCGATTGAGAAAAACTAAGGCGGGAGAGGGGTACCTTGTCAGCACACACTTGGGAGTTTCCCCAACACAGCTCTATCTTCCTCACTCTACCTTGGCACGCTATTTCTAGCTGCAGCGTCCAGCTTCCTGTTCAAGTCCCATTCAACATTGTAAACACATTCCAAGAAAACTAGAGTTCCCTCCACACACAGGGAAGTCAGCCCAGCAGCCCCAGGATAGAGAACCAGCTGGGCTGTCTTCTGAGAGAGGTCGAAAGCAAGGCTACCACCGGGAGGTGGACTCGAGCAAGCAAGCTTGGCAAGCCGGGTCCCACTAACGCCAAAGAAGCAGCGATCTGACCCGCCCAGTCAAAGGGCACGCGCGTGGACACCGCCCCAGACTGGGGGCCCTGCCCGCCTGGGGCTTTAAAGTATAAGCGGCCCGGTCGCGAGCTTCTTGCCTCCCTGCCTCCTGCCCACATTTTCCTAGCGACCCAACAAAAGCGAGACCAGGCTGGACAAAGTTGACTCTCTTAGTCGCCTCGCTGACCCAGCGATGCCTCCGCTTGCTGGGCAGCGCCTGCTCAACGCACCCGCAGCGGGATGGTCCAGCGTCCGCACCGCTGGTTCCCGGCTCCTGCACGCCCATGCCGCACCCAGGCGAAGTTCCCCCAAGGGGCCAGAGGGACCTGTGGCGGGAAGGCGCTGCGCGGGGGACCCTCGGCACCCCCACCTCCCTCCCGCACTGCCCCCGCCTGCAGCAACAGGTCCCAGCCTCCTTCCCCGCCCGCGGACTCCCCGCGCCTTCGGGGTGCGGATCTGTGCAACCTGCGGGCAGCCGCAGCCCCGCGCCCTCCTCACCCAACAGGCTGACCCCGCCCGCTTCCCGGGGTCTGCTCCGGGTCCCGGTTCCATGCCACCTGGCCGGAGCTGGCCGGACCCGGCGGACGCGTCGGCTTCCTACCGTGATTCCGCAGAGGGATGCGGCCGCTCGGCTGGAGCAGACACGGGATCTCCGGGGACCTTGGCCCGCGCTCGCGCGTCCGTGGCGGACAAGGAAACTTTGTGGACGTCTACACGACGCTGGGCCCGGGACTCTAGGGCTCCCGTCCCCTCCCTCCTCCTCCTCCTCCTAATCCGCTGAAGCCTGAACTGGCGCTGGTGGCGGCCCGGGCTGGGTCGGGACTTCCAGTCGCTGGAGCTGGGATGGCGGGGCTCCCCCTCTCGGCCAGAAGAAAACTCCTTATGCGCACTTCGACCGGTCTCCTGGGGACGCTGGTTGGCTTTCTGCAGCAACTGTCCTGCTTTAAAAGGCAAACCTGGAGGGATTCGGAGGATGCCTAGAGAACCGGGTCCCCAGGAGGGGCTGTCCCTTACCCAGTTCTTATTCCGATGGGAGCGAAACCGCGGGCTCCGCCCCACTCCCACAGCTCGGAGTTTCCTTTTGAAACCTCGTTCCAAAGATGCTGTTTCTTAAGAATGTAAAACACCTCTGAGGTCTAACAAGGGGGAAAGTGCTACAGGAAGGGAATAAATAGGAGTGAGTCGTGCCCTCTCCTAGCCTCAATCATGAAACACTGTCGCTGCTGTGCTGAGTAGACTTTTTAAAATATGTTTTTTTTTTCTCTTAAAGCACAGCCTGAGTCTTTGCACATTATCCCTCTCACCCCACCCGCAAAAAGAAGGAACGGGAAAATTGCTTCAACCGCCACATTCTGTTTATTTGCAGCCTTCCTATGCTCACCTCAGAATTCAGAACTTCTGTGTGGAATTGGAAGGATAACACAACGATGAGCCTGGTACTCTGAGTGGGAAAAGAATAAAAACAGATTCTCATGGGAGTAAGTCTTGGAGAATGAGAAGACTGCTACATAAGTTTCTAGAGATAACCCCTAGAATTTGGCTGAATCAGTAAGGCATTTTACAAGGTTAGCATGCATGTAATATTGGCGTGCATATGCTGTATCCAAGCTAGGGCTAAGAGGCAGGCAGGCAGACCTGAATATACTCCAGTCCCTATGCTTACCCTTTCTGTTGCCCAGGACACACTTCTCAATTATAACAGGGAAAGGACTTAGGTGCCACAACTCATGGCAGTCACGTGTACCGGAGTTAAAAACAGACTAGTGTTAGAAAAAGGAAGACAGCAAAAATTGGGTTCTTAAACACCCCATCATATTTTGCTGTAATTTGAAGAGAAAGGTAGTGGACATTCCTTTCCAAAGACCTTGTAGCTGAGTGGGTATTCCCTCTGACACTTGTTCTGTTAGGTAGGATGCAGCCTCCCAATGTTTCAAATGGAAACAGTTTAAAGGTCACTGTACTCTAATCAAACTCCTTTGTTTTGAACACAGCTGATTTTCCTGAGGCCATGTTTGGATCTCCTGAATTTGGCTCTTAGTTTTTGTTTACCCCTTTATCAAAATAAGTAAGCATATATTAAAATTATTGTAACAGGAGGCCAACTATGTAACTCGTTTGATAGACTGCTTGCTTAGCATGCATCACATAAAAACAGGCATGGTGACACATTCATGCCTCAGGAGATAGATAAGGAAAATCAGGAGTTCATTATCATCTTCAGATACATAGCTAAAGGAAAGTGTGGGATCCGTGGATCTCTGACTAAAAAAAAAAGAAGGGGCAGGAAATTATAGTGAAAACATTTATCTGAAGACACTAGGTTTTTTTCTGTAAATAACCTTAAGTAATTCATGAAGAGTTACTGATAACTTACAATGCCATTTGAATCACTTTATCAATATGATTAGAAACTATTGCTTAAAAATAGGAAAGTTATCAACTTAATCCATTATTTACTTACAAATATGTGGGGTATTTTAATGCAATAATAGTAAAAGATTCTAGCATAGACTCCCAAGAATACATTGAGAAATACTAGATCACTTTCAATAAACAACTCCTCTTAAGTATGGGGCCAAAGAAAGGCTCTGGAGACTGAGGTCGAGCATTGTGAGTCCCATTCTGTGAACCAGTGGAAAGTGTGACAGCATGTCCTTTACCCCATTCATTTCCCTCCTTTAATCCCTTCCTCGCTCTGCTTCATGTTGAGACTTCTCTGACTTCACAGAAGTAACTTCTGGGTGCCTGAAGCTACAACCTATATTCCCTATCTCAGTAAGAGGCCTCTTTCTAGCCTCATCCTCACTCCCTGACTGAAAAAATATTTCCCAGAGATCTGAGGTAGTTCTCCCTCAATCTGTGTTTCCTAGCTATGACTGGTAGAAGTGCTAAACAAAAAAGCAAACTTGCGACTAAAAAGTATACTCACCATTACACAGAAGGATGAAAAATGCAGATGGATGAATGTTGGGGAAGTCCTGTGCATTTGTCAATAAAGACTGTCTGGCCAATCGGAATCTAGATAGGTGGGGCTAGGAATCCAGGAGGATTCTGGGAAGGAGAAACACAAGAGAGTCAACATGTAATGCCATGGGGGTAGGAAGCCTGGAACTATTCTCCGGTAAGAGACATACTTAGATTAACAATTATGGGGTAATTACTTAAAGCAGAGCTAGCCAGTAAGAGACAAACAAGGCCAACAGCTTCATAATTAAAATAGCCTCCTGTGTGTTTATTTGGGACTGATGCGGATCTGGAACCAGGCTGGCGGGATGGCTCCTTCTCAAGGAAAAAGCTTCCCTTAACAGATGAAAAATGCATGAATCGCCACAACTGTCTCTTTCCAACCATTGCACACAGTGCTCAGGGTTGCTTGCTTTTCTATTGTCTCTAAGTCAGTTATTGCTTAGTTATTTTTGTACTTGAACTTTCAATATGGACTTCTTTATGAAATGGCTTGCAGGCCTACTCAAGGATGTTCAAACCAAGTTTTTAACAACACTAAAATGATGCAGAACAAAATTTTAAATCAGATTCATAAGAAGAAAGATGGCAAGGAAAAAGGTTGTGGAAGCCTGGCAGGGTATAACCACTAAACAGTACCTAATTCTACCCATTGAATTACCTCAAAATTTCAGTTAAAAATTCTCTGTATTCATCATGTTGTGTACAACCACTCGTTAAAACATTAGCTGCCTTCTATTAATTTTAAAATTAATGTTGCTGTTCAGGCCAGTGTTCAGTGTTTCTTACTAGAAGAAGATGGGAGTTGAACAATTCTTACTGATGCTGGAGGTGATGTTACACCCTTGTATTTCCAGCACTCTGGGGGCTGAAGCCAGGCAATTCCTGATAATCACACTTTGACAGGATTTACAACCACCTAGACAACAAACTTCTGGGTGTGTCTGTAAGTGCATTTCTGGGGAAGACTAACTAGGAGTGAAGATCCACTCCGATTCCATGATTAGGGGCACCAATTCACTACAAAGGGAAAACAGAAAATGAGCTGGAGCATCAGCTAGTTAGTCCTCTGCTTCCAGGCTAAGATGCAATGTGACCAGCACACTTGCAGTGCTGCCAAAGCTACAGCTGCCACAGCCTCCCTATCTTCACTACCATGATGAACTGTAGCCTCAAGCCCAAAGAAAAAGAAACTCCTCTTTAAGTTGCTTTTGTTAGGTATTTCGTAACAATAATGAGAAATAACTAATTCAATTAAGTTTGGAGCCAGCCCTATGTACTCTAGGAGATCATGTCTAAGAAAGAAAAGTAGGAAAGGAGAGAGGGAGGGAAAAAGGAAGGGAGATAGGGAGTTAAAGAAAGAGAAAAAAGAAAAAGAGAACATTAAATTGAAAATTATTGTTATTTTTGATAAACAAATACTATTTTGCCGTAAAACACACATTACGCTGATAGCTCTATGTCCCGCAAATATATCATTTAAAGTAACTGATAACTCCTTCTGAAAGGAAATAAACACCAAGATGGAATTAAAATCTTGTGGTGGTTTGGGAGAAAATGGCCCCCAAAGGGAGTGGTACTACTAGGAGGTATGGCTTTGTTGGAGTAAGTATGACCTTTTGGAGGAAATATGTTACTGTGCAGGCAGGCTTTGAGGTCTCCTTTGCTCAAGCTTTGCTCAGTTTGACACTCAGTCTACTTCCTGTTACCTGCATATTAACATGTAGCATCTCCTTCTCCAGCACCATGTCTACCTGTACACTGCTATGATACCCACCATGATGATAATGAACTAAACCTCTGAAACTGTAAGCCACAAATTCAGTGAAATGTTTTCCTTTATAAGGGTTGCCATGGTCATGGTGTCTCCACAGCAGTAGAAACCTGAACTAAAACAAAATATTAGACTCGGTCTCAATTAAAAATGGGAATATATGTCAAGTACAGCAATGGCCAAATATTCTTTTGATTCCTAGCGACAATTAGGTTCTAGAGTTAATGGGTATTTATTTTCTAGTGTCTGTTACTCTATTATACATTCTAAAAGAACCAATTTATTTGGTCTTCCTGATGAAGGTAAAATGTACTTTATGAAAATAATTAGCCAGGTGATGGCGCATGCCTTTAATCCCAACACTCAGGAGGGAGATGCGGGAGGATCTCTGTTAGTTCAAGGCCAGCCTAATCTACAGATTGAGTTCCAGGACAGCCTCCAAAATAATACAGAGAAACCCTGTCTCAAAAAACCAAATAGTAATAATAATAATAATAATTAATAGGAGCAAGTGCAAAACAGTATAAATAACATCTATCTTTTTGCCCTCAGGAATGCCCATTGCTAATACTTGTTCCACACTCCAAGGCTTTCCTGAGGTCATTGAGGTACTCCAGTAAGTATCAGTCCTGAAATGTAGTATTCTATGATTTCTTCTCTCGCATTTTTATATTTATAAAGCATTTCACCAAAATTAACATACACAAACACACACATACATACACACACACATCATTTCCACTTTCTTTTATTGTATAAAGTTTTTGCCATTTGCTTCCACAAAATATTAACTAGATATACAATGTCATATACGTAATGAATGAATTACCCAGTGATTTTAGAATTCAGCCTAATCCAGGTCAATTAATATGGAAGATGTAATTTGTAAAATGCTCGCTTTCCAGATAGAAAACAGCCCAGTTCTTTCTCTAATCAAGCCAGTACAGCCTGTGATCCTGGAGAAGGGCACTTCTTTTCTAGCT